TGGAAGCGTTTCATTATGTGGTATAGAATTCATGAGCAGATAACAATTAAACTGGACCCTGAGTAAGAGGCCAGAAAATACAGGGCATACGTGTGCAGCAACATAAGTTATTTAAAATGCATCCCTCTCTCTGTCATACTTGAATTCTGTAACCCCACCTTCCAGACCTAATCTGTAAAGGGAGATAAGATGCAGCTTTTAGAAACTGATGCTATTACCAAATATAAAAGTATAGGAAATCATAACATAGATTTTATTACAACACAGATTTAAAATGTGAAGGACATGCTGCAGGATCCGGAGGACTTACAGCAGATTCAGGAGACACGCCAGCCACACAGTGCGCTCCTCTGTGAAGTGAAAGAAGCAGCTGCCTCCAGTTTCCAATGTTTGGCTGAAACTAGGCACTGATAGACTTTTCGTGACGATGAGAAGAATTCTTGTATTACCCGTGACAACAGTAAATATTCTAGTGTTCACAACACATAACATAGATTTACTGCCTACGAAAACCCTCCCCAGAGTTTCTGTTACGTGGTCAACAGTAACACTCACTACAATCATGTCTAAGATCAAATTAGTCCAAAGCAGCTCCTTGCTGATCTGGGGCTCTTCTGCTCTCATGAGGTTTCTGATGGTCTTCTCCTGACATCTCCTAAACTTCAGATTAGTCAGCTGGCCCCTTGCAATAACTAGTACACACCCAAACTTTGTTTCCCGAAAACAGCTTTGACAAAAGAGGGTATGCTGTGGGTCCTGAGAGAATAAGGGTGCCCAGAGATGGAGAGACCATCCCTGTGGCTGAAGGGAACCTGGCTGGTGTTTCTGCATCTGATGATGGACACTGTGCATCAAATTAGCTGTAATGTTGAAAGTAACCAATTGGACATTAGAAGTAGTTATAAGAAGGTATCATCAATGCTTTTATTTATTTACTTACTTTTTAAATCAACATATAATTCACATATACCATTATATTAGTCTTAGGTATATGAAGCAGTGCTTTTTGTAAGGAAATGGTGCTTATTATAGAAAATTCAACAAACCTTTTATAGAATGATCTGTAGCAGATACTACTGTAGTTTGGTTAACCTGTGACCCTGAATATCATCGGGATTGGGGACTTTAATTTTGCTCACTCTGTTTAGATTATTTGTTAATTATTATTTATTAATTACTATATGATAAAGTTGAGGATCTTGCCCCCTCCCTTTTTTTGGCCACAGTAAGTGGGGGACCATTATCTTCAAAAGGCACATATTGACCTAAGCCCATTTCTTCATTTCACCTGTGAAAACATTAGATTTTTTTTGTCTGGTTTGTAATGAATAGTAGAATAAAATGGTATGGTACCTAGGTATCCTGTTATCTTGTAACAACATTTATAGGATGTCTTCTATCAGATTGAAAGAAGGGATTTTGCTTCAAATAAAAAAGTATGTTCTGAAAGTGGCATTGCTGCGTACACTGCCAAACCATAACTGTTAACAAGGTGGGTGTGTCCAGGCTGTGTTCCCAGCGTTTGTCGTGGGCGAATGTGCCTGCATCTTTCCAGCAGTGAGCCCATCAGTTGCCAGAACGGGTACATTGACAGTACTGTTCATCTTAGAGGTGACTGTGTCAAAAGCCTCATCTATATATCCTAGTGGAGGCCTGATGACTCCATGTTTCAAGTTTAAGTGCATAGAAAAGATTCCCTCTATAATGACTATGTACTTGAACTTGATAATACCAATAGAGATGAGCTCTCTTTTGTGTTATCAGCCACATTGAAAAATATCTTCATGCCCTGGCTGGTGTGGCTCAGTGGGGGAAATGTAAGAGGCAACCACATGTTGATATTTCCCTTCCCCTCTAAAAATAAATAAAGTCTTTACAAATTTGCTTTAAAAAAATATCTTCATGAGTCCTAAAATTGATCAAAGTCTGTATCATCCCATTACCTGGAAAGTAGCATGACAGTCAAATGCTGATGAATGAAGGCATAAATGTCAGAGATAAAAAGGACCCCACAGATTATGAAGTCCAACTCCCTCATTTTACTAAACATCCTATATCACTGGTAGCATCTGTGGTGCCAGTAAGCTCTCAGTCAGGGCTCACTGTTAATGGTACTGCTCACGGTCACAGAGTTAGCTCTTGGCAGGACCAGGAGTAGAAGTTAGCTCCCATGAGCCATCCAGTGCTGTGTTACTCTGGCCTGCCTTGCATCATGTATATCATCATTTGATATGATCTAATGTTATCTGTTTGCTTCTTGTCTGTGTACCACCACAGAATATAAGCTCCCTAAGAGCAAGGATTTTGTCATATGAATCACTCTGCATCCACAGCATATAGGAGGAGCTCAGTAAGTAGTTGTTGAATAAAAGAACAAATAAATTTAGAGGTCCAAGGTAAACATGTCAAAGAATTGAGAAGGGAAAGGAAAAAATTAACATTCATGGAGCACCTACTTTTTAAAGATGATTTACATATATATGTTATCTCAGCTAATGCTCACATAGCCTAGCAGTGAGGAGACCACACTGCTGTTCCCATGTAACCGTGATGGAAGGGGGCTCAGAAGTGTTGGTAATTCAGACCTGTCTGACTTCAAAGCTCATGCTATTTACACTACCACAATGTTTCTCAATTAAGTCATATCTAAGAATTTTCATGTGTAGTACCTTTATGCTAAATGTTGGCTGGCTCCATGATACTTATTTTTTCATGATTAAAAAAACCGTTTCTTTAAAATCCATTCCCAGAAAAAAACACATTCTAAAGGAAAGCATGCTGGTTTCTGGAGCCCATGCACACTGCTGAAAGGCAGCGTGGGGTGGCAGACATGGCCCTGGCCTGGGACTTAGAGGACCGGAGGCAGGGCCAGCCATTGACCCATCACCAGAGGTTGAGCCTTACTTCCTCATCTGTAAAATAGTGACGACAGCTGCCTGCGCACCTGACACAGTGGGAAAGAGATAATGTAGGTAGAGTACCAAGTACTGTGCTTACTCAAGGAATGTGGCTGTTAAACGTTAACCACTATTATTGTTACTCTTTCTATCATTATGGATAGTATCATAATACATACTTTCCTCAGAGAGGTATGTCTTTGGTCCAACCTACTGACTCCAGTTAAGGGGCCCATAGTCATAGATTGATTCCGCTCAAGTCTTTGCTTTGCTTTAGCTGGGACCCAGATTTTTCTATTCCATAGCCACAGACCACCCACCCAACTTCTCACTGAATCATGTGTTTGGTCAACAGAGGGAGCTCATCTTGACAGAAGGGGTGGATTAAGTCAACCCATTACTACTTTTGGAAAAATAACTTAATTAGTAGTAACTTTTATTTCATTTTATTTATTTATTTTTAGAGAGAGGGGAAGGAAGGGAATAAGAGTGGGAGAGAAACATTGATATGCAAGAGATACATCAATCAGCCACCTCTCACACACCCCCAGCTGGGGATCTGGCCCACAATCCACACATGTGTGCTGCCTGGGAATTGAGCTGATTATCTCCCAGTTCTCAGGCCAGCATTCAATCCACTGAGCCACACCAGCCAGGACAATAGTAGTAACTTTGATAGTGTTATGGTTCCTTTCACACTTTCTGGGTGTTTCCATGTGTGTTAGCTCACTTTTTCTCATACATGTGAGAAAAGCAATAAACTTTGTGGGAGCAACTCAACCTCCTTTCTCACAGCTTTGGCACTTCCTGCATGACCCCAGGGAAGTTACCTTTGGGTGCCTCCTTGGAATGGAACAGTACATACTTCCCAACTCATAGGGTTCTTGGAAGACTAATGAGCTAACATATGTAAAGTGCCTACTACAGTAATTGACACATAAGTGCTTAGTATTAGAAGCTATAGCGGAGCCCTATATTTTCTTTCTTATTTTACTTTTCAGGTGTCCTTGAAGGACATCATTTATTGGGCATCTACTAAATGCAAGGTGCTTACATATTGTATTCCAATTAATTCTCACCTGGGACCCCAGAGAAGAAACTTGCTCAGGACCACATAACTAGCAAATGGTACAGCTGACATGAAACTCCAGACTTCTGTTTTCTAATCACCTGCCTTTTTCTGACACTCACATACCGTTTGACAATCTTAGAATAGTGATTATCTACCCCAAGAATCCTAAAACATCAATTTCAAAGAACCTATGCACCACAATGTTCATAGCAGCACAATTTACAATAGCCAAGAGTTGGAAGCAACCTAGGTGCCCATCAGTAAACGAATGGATCAAAAAATTGTGGTACATATACACAATGGAATTCTATGCAGCAGAGAGAAAGAAGGAGCTACTACCTTTTGCAACAACATGGATGGAACTGGAAAGCATTATGCTGAGTGAAATAGGCCAGGCATTGAAGGACAAATACCATATGATCTCACCTTTGACAGGAAGCTAAAGAATAAAACAAACAAGCAAACAGAACAAAAACAAAGACGCTGAAATAGAGAACAAGTGGGCAGCGACCAGAGGGGAGAGGGAAGGGAACTTAAGGGGAAAAAGGGGGAGGGATTTTGAGGAACAAGTATGAAAGACACAGAGATGAGGACTGGGAGGGGGGATGGGAGGGAGGGAGGAGACCGGGCGGGGGGTGGGGTGGGATGGGAGAAATAGATAAAAAAAAATGGACTTGAAAAGTAACTAAATAAAATTTATATTAAAAAAAATAGTGATTATCTTTAGGGGAATATTGTACTTTAGAAACTATAGGGAATATGTACCTACCTCAGGCTACTTTTTTTAAAGTGATACTACATTTTGTTCAGTAATGGAATTATTTAAAATAATACCTAAAACACCTCTGTAAGTTTGATCAACAATATTAAATGGAACTTTATGGAAGAACAAAATTGAGTAAAACTTATGACGCTCAATCACTGGCCATTGGGGTTTGTTTGCGTAGGTGCCTTTTCCCAAGGAATTTAGACATCTTGAGTTATTGGGGCCAGTATTCATTTGCAGTCGGTGTTTCCATTCTGTTTGACAGCTGAAAGGTTGCTGTAGGCCGATACTCCTCCAACTTGTGTGTGCATCAGAATCGCCCTGAGGGCTTTTAAAGCACAGATCGCTGGCCTCATCCCAGAGTCTCTGAATCAGCAGCAGCCCAGGAATTTGCATCTTTTTCTATACCATGCTGATCCTGCTGTTCTGGGTACCACATATGGAGAACCAGTGCTCTAGATGGAGAGTCTGCAACTTCTGTAAAGGGCCAGGTCTGTCACTACCACCCAGCTCCGCCACTGTGGCTCAGAAGCAGCCCATTGTAAGCAAATAAGGGTAGCTTTGTTCCAATAAGGCTTTATTTAGGAGTACTGAAATTTGAATTTCATATAATTTCATGTTACAAAGTATTATTTGTATTTTGATTTTTTTCAACCACTTAATACACATAAAAATCACTTTTAGGTGGTGAGTTGTATAAAAACAGGCAGCAGGCCAGACTTGGCTTTTGGGACATAGTTTGCTGACCCCTGACATGCAATTATGTTGGGGGTCTTTTAAATTACTATTTTAAGCATGGAAGTTATGCAAGTAAGTGGTTTAAAAAGATCTAACAGTACAGAAGAAAATAAAATGACTCAAGAGGTCTTCATCCCCAGTGCCAACCACATGCCCCAGAAATAACCACTATTGACGAATATCAATTTTCAGAAATATTATAGGCACACTCAAGCTTATATAAATGTGTAAGCTCTTTTTACATTAATGGGCTTTTATACATAATGTTCAGCATTTTCTGTTTTCCTAGCAGTGTACTATGACCTCTCTCTATATTAATACTTAGAAGTAATTTAGCTTATTCTCTTTAATACTCATAGGTCCATAGTTTTGTATTGTGTAGATATACCATAATATAGCTAACCAGTTACCTACTGATGGACATTGGGTTATCTCCCACTTTTTTCTACCACAAACAGCGCTGCAGTAGGGTTCACCTACTTATGCCCATCATCATGTAACACCTTCAAGGCAAAGTCTTAGGAGAATGAATTGCTGAGTCAAAGGATATGTGCATTTAAAATGTTGGTAGGCATCTCAAAATTCCTGTTTGGGTAATTTAAGACCCTATATTCATTTTCTTTCAGGGTTACACCCTACATTTTTGCTATCTGGTCTTTATTTGACCTGAGCATTCATCGCAGTGAATTTCAGGATGATGCCCCACTGCACATGAGTTTAACACGGAGTAGTAATCTGACCGAGGGCAAAAAGTGCAGCTGGCAATTTGTTCATGATTCTTCACAGCTTTAAAGAATAAAAAGCCACCCAAATGATGCCCCAAATCTAGGGTCATCTAGGACATTGCTGCCTACGGTACCACATAGAAATTGTTTTTTTTTTACAGACCTGGTGCTCAGCAGATGTTTCTATATGTTTGTTTCCCATTAGAGTAGAGTTTTCCATTGTCAAACATTTATGTAAACATAGTATTAGCTAATAAATATGCTGTGCTACTATTGTATTAGGGCATAGAATGCCACTGCTTTTCTATTTGGGGCTTTTCCTTTTTGAGCCAGTAAAGGATTAGAATAATGATTTAATAGGCAACTATGCAACATCTTTAAAATGTAGCACTATGTTAGGTTTTCTTTACTTAAAATATGTCTCTTTCTGCTCCTAGGTTGTCATAGAATTTTCTCTTCACCACTCAATCATATCTACTTGCACAAGCAGTCAAGCAGTCAACAAAGAAGAAATTTCTTTTTCTGGAGACAAAGAGATATTTCACACAGTGTAGTTTTGCCGGCTACAGTTTCTTCAGCTCATCCAGTCCCTAAGGTACTGCATTGCCTATTATCTGCTGCTTTTCTCCAGCCAAGATAAAGGTTAGCTGCAGAAGCAATCTAATGTTTTTGCACCTTTGATTTCTAAGCTGTTTGAGTCATAATTTTTAAATGTAGTTTGTGATTTTTAAATCGTGATTTGAGAAGTTTTAATATCCTGCAATTCTATAATGTCAATTTTTTTAAAATAAAGATCTGAGCTTACAATTGCTTAGCTTGTTTAGAATGAAAAATTTTATTATTAATTTTTCTATATTAAATTTCTAACATGAAGATAAAATTACATGTATGTAGGTTTTTTTAGTTTTTTTTTTAAGGAAAAATGATTATAAAATTGGAATCATTTAAGAGATACTTGAAACTAATACACTGAATTGTTTTTTCCTGAAGCCTGCTCTCACACTTTTTATGTTATTAATGCTGCTGTCTTTGAATCTTCTTTACAGTAAATTAAACATCTTGTCTCAGAGAATTCTTGATTCTTTTTCCAGAAATTAGAATTCTGTGGGAAGACAATTTTTTTAATGCAATCTAAAGAAGGTGTGTGGGTTATTTAAAGAGAACGAGAATAGCTGAAAGAAATATAGGTTTGTCACAAAAAATCACCTGCTTTCCCCTTTTTTATGCATTTTTTACAGTGAACCCACATTAAGTATATTATACTTCCTGAAGGTGAGTGACTGACCCATTTTTGTAATAAAAGGGCTGACAAGACAGGCTACCAGAGCCCAAAGTATGTTCCTGATATTAGGTAGAAAAGAAAAAGAAATCTCTGGAGAGATGAATGTATTGTTTTAGGATTTCAGTGACAACCCAATAGCCCTTCTGCCTGACGTCGTAACCTGGCCAGATCACAAAGCAGAGACCGGAGCACAGAGTCTGTTGGGGGGACTGGGAGCTTTTATGGACACTGGTGGGAAAGCTGCAGCAGAGAGCTGCGCATCCAGAGCTCAGCTGTGGCAGCCCAGGTGGTGGTGTTACCGGCTCCGAAAGCCCATCTGAACGTGAGAATAAGGGCAGGCCCTTCAATCCTGCGTGATGTCCTTGCAGAGTTGCTGCGATATCAACTGAATGGTGTTATGTCCCTCAGCTTCCTGTCCCCAACTGCTTAGTGGGTACTGTTCAACAATGTTTATGTAGCAGTTTCCATAAGTAGTTTGTAAAGAGCTGGGCAAAACTATGAGACTGAGAGAAGTTCTATGTGTAAGATTGTGTTTATTTTCTGCATACTGCTCATGGATTTAAGTAAGTGATGGAGAGTGTTTTACAAGAGTAATCAGAGTTGAATGTTTTGAATTTTGGAGGACACTTTGGTAGTTTTTGACAAATGTTAGAAATGTTCTGGGTATTTTTTATATGTACTTAAAAAGTAGAGAAAACAAAGGCTGTTTTGTTTTATTCTCAGTCATTATTAGTTTGGGTACAGTTGAGAAGTGTAAGAAAGTGTACATGTAATAGGCGTCAGTGGTCTTGACAGTCAGTCTTTTACATATATTCATTAAGAGAGGGTGTTGTGAGCTATCTTTTGCATAAATTTTATCTTTGTGTTAAGGAGATGAAAGTGCTCTTAATTAGCCATTTAACAATTTGGAAGCTTGGTGCTATTTTTTATCAATGACAGTATGGTTCTAACAGGGTTGGGAGAAGGAAGAAAACTACTGTTTGTTTTGACCAGAAGTCTACTTCAGTCCAGTTTGTCTCAAAGCACAGTGAGGTTAACAGACCATCCAGAGACAGCACTAACAGGCAATGTTAAGTTCAAAAGGGCAGGGGAAGGAACTGGGGGCAGCCTGGAGGGTCTGTTGTGCTGGCTTCGGAGGTCGGCCCTCTAGCAGGAAGGGCAGAGCTCCATGAAGCAGGAGGTTGTGTCCGAAAAAATGATTCCATTGTCGTGTGCTGGGTTCTGATCTTCATTTTCAATCCTTTTTCCTCCAGCACATAAAGAAGCCAGACTATGTGACGACAGGCATTGTACCCGACTGGGGAGACAGCATAGAAGTTAAGAATGAAGATCAGATTCAAGGGCTTCGTCAAGCTTGTCAGCTGGCCCGTCATGTCCTCCTCCTGGCTGGGAAGAGTTTAAAGGTGGCGTCTCCCCAAGCCTCAAGACTTAACATAAGGGGCAACAAATCCTCTTATTTTTCCTTTTTCCCTTTCAACTCTTGTGCACATTTAATTTGTTAAAAATTAAGTAAGGCCTTGGGATAGGGAAAGGGGATTATATTATTTTATGTATTTTTTCAGGAGATTATTTAAAATCCAAACTCAATTTTAAATAGCAGAATTCTGGAGATGCTTTGGGCTCAGTCAGCCTATCCAAGTTGGTCGACAGCAACCAGCTTTGACTTTTGCCCCCTTCCTCTTGCCCTTAGTTTCTGCTTTTACTCCCCACATTATTTTCATTATTTTCATGTGCCTGAAGAGTTGCTTGCCTCAGCCTTTGTCTCCTATTTTCTTGCATTTGCTCTGCAAAAAAAAAATCAGACTAGATACACAAAGCTATGGGTAATAGAGCAATGTTATATACAGCTGTCCAACTACAAAATTCAGTTCTTTCAGAATAATCTAAAACACTCTGCTGTGTAAGAACCTAAAAGAATATACGGGCCTGCAGTTTCAAAAATGTGGGCAGAATTTAGGAAGTGAGACTCAACAGTGAGACCACTAAGGTATCATCTGTGTCATAAACATGTTCTAGCAACATAACATATGTTGAATATAAAATAATGCCAAGAAACTTATTGAATAGTTATTTTTAATAAGAGATTTTCTTTTAGAATTTTATTCATGATTTATGAGTTTATGAAGATAGTCTTCATATGCTCAGAAAAGTCCGTTATACTTTTCTTTTGGTTCGAGGGCAGTTGGAGAGCTTCTAGTAAGAGAAAAAATATTTTTTAAAAACACTGACTTATTTAGTTATGAAAGAAATCAAGATCAGTGAAAATCAATCTGTAGGAAATGGGCCGTGGACAGTTAGCTCAGTCAGTTAAAGTGTAGCCTGCATAGGCCATGGTTGCAGGTTTGATCCTCCGTCAGGGCGTGTACAAGAGTCAACCGGTGAAAGCGTAAATAAGTGGAACAGCAAATTGATGTTTTTCTGTCTCTGTCTCTCCCTGAACTAATCAGTAACATTTTTTAAAAAACTGTCAATTTTTTAAACATCTGTAAAAAATGCACTGGGCTCATTTTTTTTGATGATGGTCCACAATCCCCATGCCATTGCTGCAGAGCCCACATCCTGTCTTTGAGATACAAATGTGTGGATCGACCTGCTTTTCAAGTTTTGTCGTCTAACCTGAGGAGCCTTTTGAGTATTTATTTATGTGCCTCTGTTAGCCCAGGGTGCCAGCCACTGGGGGAGAGGAAGGAATTGCCTAACTACATATTTTTGAAATTTTCAGGCTAAAATGGAGTCATGTTATTTAATGACTCACAAATGATCTGAAGGATCTTAAGAGCTTAAAATTGCCTTTTCCTAATAGTGTATAACATCATCATATACCTAAATTATTGTCAAAAAGGCACAATTTAAGATTTTAATGTCAATTAGAATTAATTAACATCTTGTACCACAAGTTTATCAAAGTAGATTTATACAATTTCACCTGGAAGTTCTGTAGCTAAAAGCATAGTCAATAGATACAGGAAATGTCTTCACCTGTCACTGAGCAATTTCTTTATTTAATATTTTAGGTTGACATGACAACTGAAGAGATAGATGCTCTTGTTCATCGGGAAATCATCAGTCATGATGCCTATCCCTCACCTCTAGGCTATGGAGGTTTCCCAAAATCTATTTGTACCTCTGTAAACAACGTGCTATGTCATGGTATCCCTGACAGGTATTCATTGCTTAATAACTTATTGTTCCTTTGGAAACTAAAACATGAAACTAAGATCTATCACATATGATGAAAGACACTATTGTTTAATTGAAACCCACCTGCAAACTTTTGAAGCTAATTATGGTAAAACAAAAAATTTGAAGTATTTTGCTTCTAAGTGGATGTGATACCCCTATTTAATGTTAAAGCTGTATGTAATCCCAAAAAGTGGTTGTGCATTAAATACTTCTTTTACATCCTTATATTTTAACCATATAAATGCTAAAAATCCAAATGTAGGTAAATTTTTGTTCTCAAATATTGTTTTGACTTTTTGTAAAATTAAGGTAATTAAATAAGTACTTTTTTTAATAGTAGACTTATAAGTGGTAATATGCTCCTACTGTGTATTTCTTGTAAAATTTGATGTGACCAACATAAGTTTAAGATTAGATATAGTTATTCCACTTATTTTCTCCTCTACTCCAAATTATCATTGCAATTCATTGGCCTTGTGATAGCAGTCATTAGGTATTTATTTTTATATTCCTTTTATTGAGATCTGTCTATCACCCTTTTTCCTGTTTATGTTTCAGTCGACCTCTTCAGGATGGAGATATTATCAACATTGATGTCACGGTGAGTAAATCATATAAAAAATAGTCTTTGATCAACTTCAGAATTGATGGTAGCAACAGGAAGAAGAGTGGATTGAAAATGTGAACTGCACCGATGGAAGTGCTGTTTACTTCTGGATCCAGACGCAAGCAGCTGGTTTCCTTTTTTGTCTTTAACTCTGTGTTTATTCCAAGTAAACCCAGGCCTGACTTGAATTTAGGCCTGGAATCAGATGCACTGAGATCAATGTTGGCCTAAGTGAAATGTCAACCCAATCCTGCTATGTGTCATGTTTTTGAGAAGGTGTAATTGTTATTGATCCACTGTGTAGTTAATGCAGAACGCCGCAGCACCGGGCAGATGCTGAAGCTAGATATGTATGAGATGAGCTAACACGAAGAAAGCCAGCATTTTTCCTTCACTCTGCCAAGATTGATCTTCCTCTTCCTGCTGATTTTGAGTGGGGCCTGTCATTATCTTACTCTGTCATTAGGGGCTACGTTGGCCTGTGTGTCAGTCTATTTGGACAGCAACTCTTTTGCTAGCAGTGTTCCTTGGATTTATTAAAATCCCTGGAGGTAGCGTCGTGCTCCATTTCTGGTACAGGGAGCCTTGAACTCAAAGCTTACGAGCAGAGTGGTGTCTTCTCTAAACTTAAGTTTTCACCAATGGTTAACAGTCTTTCTTTTAAATAACAACCCAACATAATTTAACATAGGAACTTCAAATTGTACAAGCTTTAAACCTTTTCTAATATTCTTAGCTCTTGACAGTTCTCAGACTCAGCTTCTTTGTGCTTTGGCAGTTCATTTTGCTAAAAAGTTTTGTAATGATATATCTTTGGATTATGTAGGTTATAAATAAATTCTACATATGCGATTATTAATAAATAAATTTTAAATAAATATAATTTATACATCGACAAGAACTAGTTGAGATAGCATTCAAGGAGTATAGTTTCTATTAATGAGGAAATTTTTTTGCTTGAATTTTTATTGAATTTATTGGGGCTGCATTGGTTAATAAAATTATGTAGGTTTTGAGTGTACAGTTCTGTAATACATCCTCTGTATGTTGTATTGTGTGTTCATCATCCAAAGTTCAGTCTCCTTCCATCACCATTTATTCCCGCTTTACCCCCTACTCCCCCAACCCACCTTTTCCTCTTGTAATTACCATACTGTTGTCTGTGTCTATGAGGTTTTGTTTTGTTTTGTTTTGTTTTTGGTTAATCCCTTCACCTGTTTCACCCAGCCTCTTCCCCACCGCCCAGCAGCTGTCAGGCTGTTCTCTGTATCTGTGAGTCTGTTTCTATTTGTTTTTGTTTATTTTGTTCATTAGATTCTACATATGAGTGAAATCACATGGTACTTGTCTTTCTCTGACTGGTTTATTTCACTTAGCATAACACCCTCTAGGTGCATCCATGCTGTTGCAAAAGGTAAGATTTCCTTCTTTTTTATGGCTAAGTAGTATTCTATTGTATAAATTTATCACATCTTTTTTATCCCCTCAGCTACTTAAGGACAGTGGGGCTGTTTTCAAATCTTGGCTACTGGAAATAGCACTGCAGTGAGCATAGCGGTGCAGAGGAAATATTTGTGATAATAGTTACTCTAAATCCAGACTATGACACCTAAATAGAAGTGGGAAGGAGGTGGAAATTTGCATTCAGCAGTCGACTTCAGTCAGATTTTTAGTTCAAATTAATTCAACCTTTTTTCTTCATGTCAGTTTGTGTAAAGATATACCCAAAGATTCCTTTATTGATATAGGAAAGGTCCTACTTAGAATACTTGAACATTTGCTCCACATATATTCTGTTGGTTTCTTTCCAACTCAGAATCATGTAGAAGGAGGTATTTTATGAAATGTGCCTGAAAGGAAGTATTTTTCATGGTACACTTTTCTTTGGGATTGTACCAGATTTGGGGGTGTTTACATTTATTATCTCACCTAATCAACCTCTAATAAAATATTGCTGCTTGGAATGAAATTAAGCATACTCTTCCCTACCATTTTCAGTGTGTTCAAAGAGAGTATTTCATGCCTTTTCTAAGTTTCCTGAAGACTTTCAATGCACACTTCCATTTTTAACATTCAAATAATTTCATAATAGCAAAAAATATTCTATTAAGTGAAAGATTCCATTACTATATTCTATATTTTATTATATTAGAGTCTATATTTTACTAGAAAATACTCATTGAATTTTATAATTGTTTATGTCTAGAATATATCACAGAAAAGACTTCTTTTTCCCTTAAATGTTGAATGTTAAAAAAAAATACTGTGCAATGCCCATAGTAGTTGCTCAGTAAATGTTTGTTAAATAAATGCAGTAGAAAAACATGAACAGTTTGTTGGTACAAACAGTAACTGTGGATAACTGTCACAGACTTTCAGAAGCATTGTTATTGCCTCATAATATTGACTCTTTCAAGTAGTCATTTTGAAAGCTAGCAAAAGTAATATGAAAAAGCAAATAAAGATTTTTTTAAATACACTTTTACTTAAATAGCAGTTACATAAACACTCAGTTGCAAATTTTTTTAATAATTACCCTTTTATTAGTAAATATATACTTGTGTATAAAATTAAAACTTGTACTTTCTTGGACTGCAAATGGGAATAAATGTATAAAATGCTGTTGGATTGCAAGGTAACTAAGGTACTTTGATACAGCATAGAAAACACTGGATTACAAGCTTATAATCCATCACATTAATCTGGATCTACTTCTACTTTTGCCACTAACCTTAGACAAGTACTTGTCTACCTCAGTTTCCCGACTTTAATTTTTTTTAATTTATTGATTTTAAAGGCAGGGGGAAGAGAGAGAGAGATTGTTTTTTATTTCAATTATTTATGCCTCCATTTGTCCATTCTTGAATGTGCCCTGACGAGGGATTGAAGCCAGAACCCTTGGCATATCAGGACAATGCTCTAACCAACTGAGCGATCCGGCCAGGGCAGTTTTCTGACTTTTAAAATTAAAACATAGTAAAAACTTTTCCTGGTTTCCTCAAAGTGTGTGGAAGAGTATTTTTTAATGCAGAATTATATACAGTTTTAAGACATTAATTCAGTATTAAAACAGGCAGAAAGCTCAGATAAATTTTTATAATATTTTCTGCATTCTACTTCATGAGAAAGAGAAATGCGAAAAATAATTACATAGAGCAAATTTATGCAAAATAGAAAATTCCATGCTATGTCAATGGATCAATATTCAACTAGTCTTAGCCTTTGATCTTTATTATAGTGGTTGGTGATTACTGATTTTTGTTCTGAATCTGGTATCTTTCAAGATCCAACAGGGACTGCTAAATCATTGAAGACTGATAAAATTATGTTTTTAATCATTTTATTCTTAACACTGTTTGCTTTTATTCTTAGTCTTTAAATATTGATGTGTAATGTTTTCTGTTAACATTCTGCTCTCTGGAACATTCCATTAAGATTTCACTTCCAGGCAAGATTTTTCATTCCTGTATTGAGCCACTTCAGTGCTTCTAGTGGATTCTCCTACTGTCTTTTATAATATTGACATGTCTGTCTTATTTTCTCCTTGTCATTATATATGACTTACCAGTATAGACATGGTAAATAAAAGGTTGATTATCTTCATGACACTGAAGAAACTTTTCACTGTGTTAAGTATTTCTGGTTTTTCTAAACCTACTGTATCAATCATGGGTCAGTGTCTTTGGTAACTAATATTTGCATATATAGTTTTGTCTTCTCAAAAACGAAGTGAGGAATCAAAATGTTTCTATAACATCGCTGATCATAAGGCTGAAATAGCCATACTAATCATTTGTTTGTTTTAAAATTTTATACTGTTGCATGGCTTCATCTTTTAAATTTCCGCAAGGTCTCTGTATCTATTTCTTTTTTTGTAGGTAAACTTAAGAGTAATTCTGGAGGAGTGAAACATAGGAACGCACCAAATACGTAAATGAATCCAGTGTACACTTTGGAAGAGTACATTTCTCAACAAAGGCATATTTTTAAATTTCTGCCTGTGTTTAGGTCTATTACAATGGCTACCATGGAGACACCTCAGAAACCTTTTTGGTGGGCAATGTGGACGAATGTGGTAAAAAGTTAGTGGCTGTTGCCAGGAGGTGTAGAGATGAAGCGATTGCAGCTTGCAGAGCAGGGGCTCCCTTCTCTGTAATTGGAAACACAATCAGGTAAGCCTTGCACTGACAAGTAAAGGGAGGGGTGGCAAATGGGACAAAGGTTATTGGTGGCTTGGTATAAAGTTGATGACATGTTTTATGATTCAGAACCATCATTTCGGTTTGATACCAGTATGTGAACTGCCAGGCTGCAGTGTTGTTCCTGGATTAGGAAAAAAAAAGACTAAAAAAAGTGACATCCAGGTTAGCAAAGAAATTTGTAGAAGCAGCAAGTGATATTTATAAGATTGCTTTTGTTCTAGCCCGACATGTTGGTCTGTAGTGTGCTTTTACTCAAAATCACACCACACATAGAAGAAAGTAGCTAAGAAGGGACTAAGCATCCCAACACAGGTAATGAGACAGGAGAAAAGCTAAATTTTATAAAGGAATGAGGTGAAATGTATTCCTATGATCCAGAGGGGGAAACATTAGCTCAAGCAAGCATTGCCATTCAAATGAGTGGGTTAGCAAACAGCCTAAAAGGGTGATCTTCTGTCCTTTTTGGTCTGGTTCATTTTTCCTGTAAACCATTGTTTATTTTCCACACAGCATTCTATACTTGCTTTTTGAGCGTATGTATATTTTCTGAATTCATGACTTTTCTTTGCAATCTGTTACCTACCTACTTTTAGATCTTTTTTTCCCATAGCTGTTTTGAAGTAGACATGAAGAATATATGTTTTCATTTCAAAGTAATGCATTTTGTTAAAGATGATCACATCAGTACCTTTTATTGAGTCCTGTTCTCATTAATATGAACCATTGAATACTTCCCATTTGTCTGAAGGATGGACAGCTTAGTCACCTTGAAAAGATGATGCCTTTTTTCTTCATAAGCCTTCAAATGCTTTAAGAAAAAAGGCAGTAAAATATCAGTTTTACTGATATTTCGTATCAGTATTTATGGCTTTAAAAATATTGTAACAGTGTCTGAATCAAACTTTAGTAAAATCTCTTTCGGTTATATCTGAGAAGCTTTTATTGAAGACTTTGAACAAAATTGTGTTTTTGACAGTTTGAAATTATAGGCTAACTAGCCTGGGAAAAAAGGATAGTGTCTCTCTGTTCTTTCATAGGAAATGTTGAATCAGACCCCTACTGGGAAGAGAAATTTAATGCATATCTCACTATCTTACTGTCCGTGAATATAATAGAAACGAATTCAAAATGCAGTTTTATTTTTGCAAATGGGATGAGTCGATAGATGTACCTCATATTTTTGAACACCTAGGGTTCAACAAATTTACTGGTGGTGCTCTTGCATTTTAACAAAATTTATTCTTCAGTAGAAGGGGGCAGAGAACACTAGATTCTTATTCAAGCATTCTATCGAGCTCTGCATTCATGGCTGTGTCTAAAGGGCATGTCAGCCTTTGATTCTCTCTGAGAGGTAATTATCCTTTTCCTGTCACGGAACAACAAATGATAGCTAACTACAGAGGCACATTTGCAGTAGTCACATTCATCAACTACAGAAAAAAAATTCAATTTAATTGTGCAACACAGCTGCACATGGGCTTTGAGCATTTCTGTTGTTCTCCCTGTCTCGCTATTCCTCCCTCCAGATCTATTTTTTAAACTTTTTTTTCTGGTTATTTTTTCCCCTTTTTGTCTCTTCTTCCATTTTTACTCTCTGTACTTTCTTGTTAAAGTAATTTTCCTTTGTGGCTCTCATTCTTTTTTCCCCATTGAAGGCTATGAATGTAGAAAATTATCACAATTACTCATATAATTGAGCCTCTTTGTAGCAAGTGCAACTCCAGTAGCCTTTCTCCATCATGAAAATGGTTTCATTATAGGGTTTTTCATATTCTCTGACACCATCTACACAGAGGAACAGGCGTGCAGATGAGATGTACTAGGAACAGGCTAGATCAGTAAGGTCACAGTAGGAATAATTAGCTCTGCTATGGAAAGAGCATCTAGGCCTTTTACTGCTACATAAATGTACTGTCCGTGGCTTTTAGTCACAAAAAAACTTACTAACAAATGGAGCTCCCGCCTACTACTTTGAAAAAAAGATTTGTATCAACACTACAATTTTCCATCATTAAGACTAATAACACAGAGCCTAGTATACATCAAGGGGAATAAAAAGAAAAATCTCACATTCAAGTGGCGGCTGGGTGCTGACCTTTGTTCCCTTTTTTTGTGTACGACTTAACTGTTTACAAAAAAGAGCCACACGCCGCACCAACATGCAGGTGAACTCCAGCTAGCACTAGCAAAGCCTCGCGTTCAGTAGGAAGGTCTGATAAATCTCCATGCAGGATAATGCATTTCATTACGTATTCACTACATTAATTCTAGATACATAAAAAAAGAAGAGTAGAATTGAAAGTGACATTGAATTTTAGCTATTTAGATGCAAAGGTCAGTTTTTGCAGACTATGAATTTGCATGTACCAGCTCCTTAGAAAACCAGATCAGTTCCAACAACAGCACTTACAAAACTATGTAAAAAAAGAATAGACAATGAACTTTTTACTTTTACCCCAGTACATTTCATTATTCATTATTTAGATGGTTTATGTCTGCCACCGGACAGGAAACTGGCCCAGGTTCTAACAAATGTTTGCTCTAATGGATTGAGCCTCTGATTCTGGACCTCTATTATCTCACCTTTTCTTATTCAGGCAAACTCTCAAGGGAGTAAATAAAGAAGCAGTCTCCACCTTTATGCCAAAAGTTCTTGGAATCATTATAGACCAAAGGTTTACAAACATCTTTCAACTCAGTCTCATTTATTTTAAGATATTCACCATGTTTTGCATAGCCTCCCTCTACTGACATATCATGAAAAAGAACAAACATCTTTTATTAGCATTGTGTTACCAGAAACCTAGTGGTCTTGATAGGAAACTTTTAAAATTTCTAAAACCTAAAGGACAGAAAGATATCTCTGAAAAAGTATTTGACAAAATAGTTTAATGAAAAGTATTCTCTATGTGCCCTTTTGTTTCACAGGGGCTAGTGATCTTTGGGTTACAGTGTGTTATTATCTTCCCTGTAGCTCCATTTGCTTCAAAATATTTCTAAATCTGTATTTTTGTAATCGTCTCTAGATGCTATGATCTGCACATATGAGAATATTGTGAATGTGTAGATTCATGCATCACAAATATGTGACAGTTCAATCAAAAATAATTTAAACTTGTACTTGTAAATGTCACGATGAAAGTATCAATAAATGGGTTTTAATGTTTAATTCATAAGTATATGTTTTGATATTAATTTAGGAGAATATAAAGCAGATTTTTAAAAATAATCTCTTTCTATTAGATTATGCACATTTAAACAATAAGTGGCTCAGGCAAAATAAGTCATTTTAATGTCATCTGTGATGGATTTTTCTTGACAGCTACTGTAAATTACAATTATACTGCTTCTCTTTGCACATGAAAGTAAGCATTGCAATAAATTATCTTTTATTTCAACCCATCATGTCTGCTTTTCAGCAACAGAGAACCTGAAATAAAAGTTCAGGACTATTGTAAGAAAAATACAAGTAATTTGTGATCCAGTTTAAAACAAAAAAAAATGTATCACTCTTTTGGAAAACAATTGTTGGCTTTCAAAAATATTACTAATTATACTTAAACATTTCTTGTCATGAGAGACCCCCTGGATTTTTGCATTACTTCACTAAAAGACTACTGTTTAAAATGAAAATCTGGAAACATTAAGGTAAAATTTCTTAATTTAGAAAGTCAAATGCCTTTGAGATCCTTTCATTAGAAGTGTGACCATTTAGACAGTAGTGCTGTTTATAGGATTCATGTAAAAATGGTAATATAACTATTTCCATGTGCATTTTTGTTTTGTTCGAAGAGTATGTACTTAAATATAGTGCTCCTCTGCCCTCTTGGGGAATGTATTCTTAGTCATAAACATGTAGTTGAAACATATTGAGAATTTTAATTTATCCAGACAATACTTCAGTTGAGGAAAACTGCCTCATGAAAAAGAACTAAACTGAAGAAAATGGTCACAAGATGCAATTTCTTAAAAGAGATTTCTCTTTCAACTACAAATTATAACTGAAACATGAACTGTAATAATAGAGTATAATTTAAAAGTAAGTTTGTAAACTACTTTTATCCATCTTCTTCCTTTTTCCCCTCCTCCCTCTCCCCACATATTCCATATGAAGGACTTCAAGTCATAAATGTGTCAGGCTCATGAAGAAATGTCCTACTGTTTTAGAGGATTTTTAGTTAGAAAAAAAAATCAGAACAGAAGAGCTAATAAATAGCAGGAGAGTTCTCTTCAGCAGATTTCAGTAAAGAGAAGGCAGCCTCCACTGCTGAGATGTCCAGGGCGAGAAGGCCTTTATGCTCAGAAATGGTCAGGGCCCTATGACAGCTGGTGTGGGGGAGCACCTGTGGCAGTTCTTGGGCATCCTTGCCCACCCAGCTTTCCATGTATTCCAAAATGATAGAAGGGATGTGCTTTTAAATAATAGTTTGGAGCACTGATAAGATCTTTATCCTATTTAGTCCCTGCAAATATGTGCAGAAAAGCTAACTACCAACCCAAAAGGAAAACACTCTGAAAAGCAGACAAGTGTATACTTAGCTCCTGGGAATGAGGCATTGAGATAGGTGCTTAACCAAGGAAGTGAGGGAAATTTGTCCTGTTCTTTCCACATGGCTGTGAAATCCTCTGCCTTTGCATCCATGTCATATACATTTTATGATACTCCTGTAAGCAGAAGTTCCAGCAGGATCCAGGCAGTAAATTGTTGTAGGAGAATGCACTCAGATATCTTTAGCCACCTAGCAATCACACAGCTTCCTTTATGAAGAAGAGTGAGAGGTGTGGTGAGGAGAGGGACCCCAAGTGGTTTTTCAGAGTGGGCTTTCTTCCTCTCCTCTCATTGGAAATTAAAATGAAGATGCCATTGTAACACACATTTAAGATGTAGCTGTGATGGCTGCCAATCAGTTAGAGCCTTTTTTTAAAAACCTAGTTTTTCTTTAAAGAAAAGAAAATAGAACAGTTTATATTGAATGCTCTTAGAATTACTGAGGTTTACTGAAACCAAAGTAATATAATTTACAGGTTTAGGTAGAGCCCATTTTTGTAAAGAAAAATCTAGATTATTATATCTTATTAAATAATATCTCTTCACCCTCCATCCACTCTCTACCCTCAGTTTCTATTCAGAAATGGTGTGGTACAAATAGAAAAGCCCTGGGAAACTTGTTTAAGCCCCGGCCCAAAGTGCAAAGACACACCGAAATAACCAGAAAGTACAACTTGGATAAAGACACTGATTTATCATCCCTGTCCGCAGCACAGACATAGCCTACTGGTTTCAGTACTACCAGTTACATGGAAATGAAATGCGAATGAGAGTCTCTGCCCAGCCGCTGCTCGTAGTGATATCCTGGTCTAAGTGAAGATATTTTGCAGGTCTGGAGATGAAGGTTAAAATTGTTGAGGGAAAAGTGCATTGATAAGCATGCTCATAAAGATGCTGGCCAAGTGCCTTTGAGTTCCTGTTAAACTAAATGAAGGGTCTTTTGGGAACTCTAGTTTGGGGTCTCAGAACTTTGATTTTGTTCAGAATTCTATTGTTATGAATAGAGTTCAGGACCTTCATTCACCTGAAAATATAAATTGTTAATGGTATATATGTTCTTATCTTTCTGGCACACCTAATTTCAAAAACAACTTTTTAACCTTGTAGGGTTGGAGTATATGTGCTATATTTCATGTATACAGAATAGATGGAATCCACATGATTTGCATGCACAAATAACTAATGAAGCATTAAGAATTAGGAATCATAATGCTAGCTCTTCTTAAGTATCACGGTGATTAAAAAGCATTCTTTGTGAATCCTGTTAATGGTGTCAGTCTTGAGGGGAAATCATAAATGATCACAAAGTTTTGGAGTGTTTCAAGAATATGGACAAAGCAGATTTGACCTTTAGTGTGACTGTTACTATTGGCAAAATGTATAATGTTTTGAAATAGACCAGAATAAGGGAGCTATAGAAGTAGGAAGTCACATTTCTAGATCATAAATTTTTTTCTCTGGTCCCCAAATCAGTAGTAATTTGCACAGTCTTTTCATGAAACCCCATACACACCAGGCAGGTTTTTACAACCTGCATTAGATGCACATGTATCTTGGTTATATGGATCTCTGTGTATCTGTGTATGTATGTGTATGCACACTCACTTGTTGTCTAAAAGTGGTCTTGTTTGCATGCTGTACTAAGGTGAATGAAGCAAACTATGGTGTTAGATACCTACCTTTTTCTTCATTTATCCAAAGGGAATTTTACAAGCAAGGGCAAAAAAAAATTGATTCCAGAATAGTAAAAACATATTGTTATTATCTGACTCTAAATATAACTGATTTTTTCTTTTTCATAGAATATTTTAAAGTGACTTTGTTTTATCTATGTATGCACTTAAAACTTATCTAATTTAATTAAATATTTTTGTTTGGTCACTTTTAAAGCCACATAACTCATCAGAATGGTTTGCAAGTCTGTCCACATTTTGTGGGACATGGGATAGGATCTTACTTTCATGGACATCCAGAAATTTGGCACCATGGTAAGAAAATTAATTTGGGAGCTACTTATTGAATGGAATCAGGGTAAGGCAGTGTTGCTCCTGAAGCTGTAACTTTGAATCCAATCCGCATTATCATCCTATTCTGTGCGTGGATGCAAAATTAGAATTCAAAGGGCATTTAATCATAACCAGCACATTACTGTGTTACTGGATTAGAGCCCAGTAGTTTCAACCCTGAAATAAAGTTTATTTGGCTTTTCATCTTCTCCTGGAGAGTGATGGCTGGAAGGCGCAAGGAATATTGGTCTAGGAAGAGTTACTGAAAATAAAGCGTGGCTGCATCAGTGCCCCAGCAGCATGCACATACGACTGTTTTCTGTTTCCTTTTTCTACGCCCTTCTCTGACTGCTGACTGTTGTGGTTAAACTTCATTACATCCTACACAGCGTTGACAGCTGATGTATTTAGCAGCATGTACTCTTTAGTGATTTCTGGATTATACCCACCCCGTGTTCATTCTCCAGAATCTCTTGTTTTTCACTGCCTGGGTGTGCACCCCACAGTGGGAAGGCAGGGGTGGGCCACAAAGTGGTGGTGGGGGTGTTAGCATTAGGGGAGGGGGGGTTCTTTGGAGTACCCCCAAGAGGAGACACACCTGCACCCAGACCAAAGGACTCTGTGCAGGTGTGCACCCCCTTTGGTGCTTGGGGTGGTAACAGTCCCTGGAAGAACTGCTGCCTGGAACCCATCTGCTGGAGATCCCTAGAGATGCAACAGGTCAGAACTCCCCTTGAGCCAAAGAGCCCCACCAGAGGCAGCTCAGAAGGGGTCCAGGAGGGAGTGCAGACGGGGCCTCATAGACATGTGCCTCACCCAGAACCAGCACTTGGAGTTGTTTGAAGTCACCCCTGACCTTGCCTCCTACTTCAGCCTGCACCCCAGGTGGCTGCCTTCCCTTTGCATCTGTTGCCCAGGCTGTCTTTCTCTTTGCAGTGGGGGTGGTCCACAAGCAAAGCCCACAAGCAAAGGACACAGCAAAGCCAGGAGACCTCATAACAAGTGTCCAGGGCAGGGGGATCCTGACAGCTGTCCAAAACATCCAGGCTGTCCCTGCTAGGCCTTGACCCCAAGTGTAGAAAATGCAAAGGCCAAGACCCAGGAGCCTGGTGTTTAATTCCTGGCTGGTCGCCAGCACCCAGGATTCTAGAAACCTCCACCTTCCCTTCTATAACAAAAGAAAAAAAACTAAATTACCAAGTTTGTTCAGCAGCCCAACCCTTCTAATTCTGTTTTTCTTTATCCTTCTCTCCATTTCCCTCTCCCACTCCCTCTATCCCATGTTTTGTTTTTTACAGCAAATGACAACGATCTACTCATGGAAGAGGGAATGGCCTTCACCATAGGTCAGTGCGGCAGCTCCCCTTCAGAGAGCCACGGCTCCCCAGCGGAAGCAGAAGTGCTGGCCTGGGCCAGGCGGTCCCATGAAGGACTAATAAAGCCAATCAGCATAATGAAATAATTCAGATTCATAGTAAATCTGATTAAATAATATTCTCAAGCCCCATCTTCCTAAATCAGATACTTACCGACACATTTAGGAGACGGCAGCCCTCCAACTTCTAATTCTGTTACCAACATAATGTGGTATTTGGGTATTTGGGGTGTGTGTGTGTGTGTTTTCATTAACACCCAGTAACTGGAGGTGATTATGTCCCTTGCTCTCTGTCAGCAAGTGGCATGCACTCTCTGGCGGCCCATTCCTGGCTGGCTGATCATGTGATTGGTGTCACTACCAAATTCCAATCACCTAAGACCCGGAAGGCATCATGTTTCTGACTGTGGGACTTAATGGAGAAGCAATTAGAGTGAAATATGAAAATGGTTATTTGCTGATTAATGAACATTTTGAGCATGTTTTAAAAATTCAAATATTTTTAAAAACTCACTGGTATTTTATAAGAGGAACTGGTGTTTGGGTGGTTATTATCCACAGGGTCCTAATTAAGGCTTGATTAAAATGCCCTTTTTCCTCTAAAAAATTACGAACTAGGCAACTTCATACACTTTGAATGCCGCAACGTTTCCTCTTCCTACTGTTTGGTTTGCAGTGTGCTGTGTAAGCAACATCAATTACCAGCCCCATGCGATATGACAACATGAACCCTTGGGGAAGTACTTGGGGGGGAAACCTTCTTATTCTTTTTTGACAATCAGTGGAAACAATGTTTGACAAGAATCTGATTAAATCACTGCAGTAAATATTTTCCCTCTTACAGAGCCAATCATAACCGAGGGGTCCCCTGAATTTAAAGTTCTGGAGGACTCATGGACTGTGGTCTCCCTGGACAATCAAAGGTGTTTGCTTTCTGCCCAATTGCTTTTAAATTGTATGGGAAGGGAAGGTTCTCCCCGGCACTGGTTAGCTGCGCTACGGGCACCGCCACGCGAGCGCGAGCCCTGACCAATGCCTTGTGCGTTTCAGGTCCGCCCAGTTCGAGCACACAGTTGTCATCACGTCGGGGGGTGCTCAGATCCTGACCAAACTGCCCCATGAGGCCTGAGGAAGGGCCCCAACGTCGCAGAGGCTGGGCCCCTCTTCCCCTAAATTGCTGAAATCCAGCTGGAGAACTTTTAGAAGAAACGTGTGGACGGCAGGTTGTGCAGCAGCCAACCTAGTACCTAGAAGGGTCTTGGAAAACTCGGTGGGGATCAGAGGCGTTTGAAAGCTCAGATCCGAAGCCCTGCCCGGCTACAGAAACTGATCTTGGCGCCGGGCTCGGCTTCCCAGCTCCGGACACATTTCCGGAGGGGTATGGGGACGCCCTCCTTTGGAAGATGTGGGGTTGCTAGCGGTGCATGTTTTTCTCTTTCCCTTGCTTTGACAATGCCCAAGTAAAAATCTCTCACCTCCTAAACCCACTGTGTCTGTGCTCCTTGTCTCTGACAATACTACTACGAGGGTAGGAGAAGAGGGCAGTTGGTTAATTTTTGAGTTTCTGAACTTGTCACAAGCGCTCACATGAAGAAAAACCCGAGCGTAGCTGTTAGCTGGAAATTTTTTTAGCCTTTTTTTTCTCCCTTGTGGATCCTACTCCAGCTGCCCTGAGGGTGCTCACAGAGGTCAGCTGCTCCCCAGCCCTTCCAGTTCTTTCCCCTTCATAACAGCTTTGCAATGAAAAGATCAGCTGGAATGGAGGGGTTGGGCACAAACTTTTCTTTTTCTTTTTCTTTTTTTTTTTTTTTTTTTGCCTGTGGGCTGAGGACTCTGGCCTTTCTGCAGGGTTTTATCAGCCTAAAAGCATTACTTTCGGGTCCCCCTGCAGCTTCTCTGAGGTCCTCATCCTGCCCTGAGGTGCCATCCCAGAGGTTACTTCACACACACACACACACACACACACACACACACTGGACCATTTGTTGCACTAGCAGTTGAAGCATGAGCCCCAGGCTGGTGTAGCCCCTAAACTGACCTCTCCCCACACTGACCCCCTTGGGCAGTAGATAGCACTCTAGCACTGCGGTGCTGGAGGGTCCCAGCAAGAAGGGATCTGGGAATTTTTTAGGGCAAAGGCCTAGTTAGCAGGATTGGAGCTGGCGAGTTTCACTCCAGTTCTGCCTGCCTGCACCTCCACCTGCTTCAGGAGCAGGAAATCCGGTCCTCTCCCAAGACCTCCTGTCTGAGTACCTTCCCTTTCCTTGCGCTAGCTCCCCAGAACCTATTCACACCTGGACTCAGGGGTAGAGAAGGATTAGGCCTCTATCAGGCCACATAGAAGGTAGCCCATCTCTATTCATCATGGTTTTAGGAACAAATCCATTTAGGGTGTCCTCATGGTGAGTGGTTCTGCTAACTCTTGTTTCTGCTGAAGCAGGTTTTGCAAAGTTGCCATCCACTTAAATATAGCTTGGCCTTAAATATCACACCAAGGAAATGTAGGGCTCCTAGAGTTCATGACAAATGACTTCTGTAATTAGGTCCCAAGAGCCAGCTCCTCTCTGTGACACTCACAGTGGTGGGAAAAGAGAGAGGAATCCGAGTTCAATGAGCACGCTGGGAAAAGTGTTCAGTTCAAGCTTTTCCCTGAACTCAGGATTCTCCCGAGTGTCCACCAACCCCTCCAGTTCTCTTTTGCTGTGTCCAAGGATGGAGAATTTGGATAGAAATGATTCTGATTGTAGTGGAACTGAGAGCTGGAAAAGACAAAGAAGGGGTTGAATATTTTCAAGGTTTACAGAAAAACTTTTTGGGTCCTGAGAGTTGGCCAAGCAAAGGCCTACAGACTGAGGCGGCTGCCCCTGAACAATCCGAAGTCTCTAGAGGAGCAAGACCCAGATGTGCTTGGGAGAGTTTTGCCTAAAAATGACTTCACTAGCAGTAGGATTGCAGCAATTAGCCTGTATCTTATCTGTGGATCAGGTTCTTCAAGAATAGTTGTATTAGGACCACAGGATTTCACCAGCCACTGGACAACACATTGCTTGTGCAGCAATTATTCCAAGGTGGAGGTATTTATGGGACAGGTTCATAATCCCACTTATGAAAGTAACTAACCTAAAGTTTAAGTATTATACATATATATGTGTGTAAGCTCTGCAGCTCTGTAGAAAGATTCTGCAGCTCTGTAGAAAACAAACTTCGTTTAGACTGAACTCTCTTTAACATGCTTTGAAGTTGAAGTTAGGAAGCGGATTTTAAAATACCTGGTCGGCTCTTCACCCCTCACCGCCGCCAGCTTAACTGGCTCCAAATTTCACCCAGGGCAGCCGGGATTCCAGCCCATGCATAGCTACAGTTAACACCACCAGGCACCAGTCATGCAGTGTCTCCAAGAGGCTCTCGTAATCCGTGACTTTCGGAATAAATGGAAGAGTTTTATTTCCTCTTATAGTTGGGACAAGCAAAAATGTAAGCAAACAGGAGTTTCAGAACAGGTGTCGCTTTACCGGCAAGGGGAGGAAGGGTTCATAGAGTGGAGTTCAATTTCACGTTGAGAAGCTAGTCCAGGCCGGTGTGTCTGCACCGGAGGGCCCCAGCGTAGCCGCGCTTCCCTTGACCTGCTTCTCTGGGTCTAAGAAATGATTCCGGCGTGTACACATTACCTCGCCCACAATAATCCATTTCTAAAATGAGCAAGGCTCTGAAACCGGTTCGCTTGAGGGGGATGCTTGCTGGTCTTTTGTTCCTCGGAGCCAGCCCCGCTCACTGCGCTGTGAATGTCTTGAATTTCCCCAGGTGTGGACGGACAGAGAGCCCTGGAGACAGTGGCGACCTGTGGCAGCCTCTCTCCATTTCCCCACCCTGCAGTTATTTGGAATAAACCGGCCCTGGGTGGCCCAGCTGTCGGGTTTCCTCGTGCGTTGCCCTGAGCACCTGGAGTCGCCAGCCCCGCTTCCCTCTGTCCCAACCCCAGCACCGCGCCAGCCACCGCGATCACTTACGTGGTCAAGGGCCTGCAAGGCGCACGCGAGACCAGAGAGGTCCGGGCGGCATCCGTGCTGCTGTTCAGGCCGCATCGCACCGTGCTCCACAACCCAAAACAGGCGCTAAGAAGAAGCAATTAAACCCACAAGTGCAACACAGAAATCAAGAAGAGTCCAGCAAGCTCCTGGAGTTGTCTGGTAGCGGAATCATTAACTGGTTGTTGCTACAAAGTATCACCGTATGGTTGGGTGATTAAGAAAAAAAATCTTTTTAAACGTTGGCAAGCCCATTATTGGTTTGGAGGGTTGGTTGTGGGTTTGTTTGTTTTTTTCCTTTTGTTTTTCTTTTTGCTCCAACCACGCTGCCAGAAATACTTCTACCCCCCAAATCCTGCCCGCAAACCAAAGGAGAGGAATCCCGCAGGCAGCAGCTGCTGCTACTGAAGTTAAAAAGGAGAGAAGCCCCTTCCACTAATATCTGTAGAAACAGCACCAATGTTCTGTTTTGAATGTTCATTTTTATTGGTGTTCTTCTGCCAAAATGTGCTTGATTACAGAGGTTTGTCCTGTGATCACTGAGCACTCCAGACAGGGGAAGGTGCATCGGCGAAGGTTCAGCTCAGGCCAGATCAAATCCCGGGCTGTTTAACATTGAAAGGCTGCGTGTTGCTATTAGTGTTAAATATATGGCTAATTATGCGTATGAAAATTAAACATCAGTGTTATGCTAATGGCGCGCCTTCAGCTGCAGATCCAGGCACTTGAGACTACCATTTAATCAAATGAATCAGTAACTAATACATCTGCACGTGTGAACTTTCACAAGATCATTTCCCCGTTCCCGCCACACCGCTAAATTATGAAAGAATCCTCAACACTTTCTAATTACCTAACAAAATAATGACAGCGGGGGTGGGGGGTGGCTTTACGCACTTTTCTGTACCTAGCGCTTTAGAAGATAGAAGGCACCCTGGCTGCTTTTGCCCCCACCAGCCCTGCCCCGGAGAACCGCTTTGACCATTGAAGATAAGGAGGATCCTGGGCGACAATGAGAGATACATCCACACATAGATATGTGAGCCTACCATTGGCCTGGTTTTGCCGCAGGTTTCGGTGTCCCACGGGACTCCTAAACCCACGGCAGTCTCGCCAGACCCCAGGATGACGGGAAATGACCACCTGGCGCCCGCGGCTCCAGCAACACGGAGCCCGCCAGCTCTTCGGCTCCACTAGGCGCCGCGCCCTAGGGGCGTTTGAGCCCTGGACTCACGGCGCAGAGGGAGTGGAGAGAGGAGGGGGTGGTGGAGGAAGGTTGGGAGGGGAAGAGGGGGGAGTGTCGGGGAGTAGGGGGCGGTGCGGCTGCCTTTCCTGGGAGGAGAAGCGCGGGTTCCTGGCTCACCGCGCGCACTGCTTTTATCAGACCGGTGCAGCCTGGAGCTGGAGGGGCCAGCTGGGCCTGGAGCAATGCGAGCGGGCCCCAGGGAGCGGCGGCGGCGGCGGCGGTGGCGCGGCGGCCGAGTGAGTGAGTTCACCCGCAGGGCCCCAGACCTCACCCCAGGGATGTTGCGGAACGGACCCAGGCTAGGGCGGGGCCTCGGGGAGAGCGATGCGCTAAGCGCTAGAAGCTGGGAAGGAAGCACTCTGTTGGCCGCCTCCAGCGCCCCCCAGTGCGCGACTTCGCGCTCTGGAGGCCGCGGCCAGGCTCCAGAGCTACCCTAGCTCAGCGCCGGACCAAGTGGCGGAGGCGACTAGGAGAAGCGATGCCAGGATCCCCGGTGTTGGGGGCGGGAGGAGGATGGGGACTGTTGGGGGAAGAGGGCGGCCGCTGAGTCGCAGGTTGTTTTCTGGGAAGTAAGGCACACCGTGAGGCGAGAGGCTGAAGAGCAGCGGGCTGCGGTAGACCTGGCGCCGGCGCCACAGCCCATTGTGCTCCCCACCCGGCACGCTCTGTTGCAGAGGAGCGAGCCCCGGCCGGGAAGTGTGGACCCGTCTCTCCCGAGTCCCGGCCGCCTAGCCCGCTCTAGTCCAGCAGAGCCGGAGCGCCTCGGACCAATCCCCGGTGATTATGCAAGGCAACGGACCAATCAGCTCCGTCAGCTCATGAATATTTATGACCTCGGCTGAGTCAAAGCTTTGAAGCGAGTTTGGGGAGCTCAGCAGCATCATGCTTAGACTTTTCAAAGAGACAAACTCCATTTTCTTATGAATGGAAAGTGAAAACCCCTGTTCCGCTTAAATTGGGTTCCTTCCTGTCCTGAGAAACACAGAAACCCCCCAAAGGAAAGCAGAGGAGAGACAGAGACCCAGACCCAGACCCCGCGAGAAGAGATGACCATGACCACCATGCCAGAAAGTCTCAACAGCCCCGTGTCGGGCAAGGCAGTGTTTATGGAGTTTGGGCCGCCCAACCAGCAAATGTCTCCTTCTCCCCTGTCCCACGGGCACTACTCCATGCACTGTTTACACTCGGCGGGCCATTCGCAGCCCGACGGCGCCTACAGCTCGGCCTCGTCTTTCTCCCGACCGCTGGGCTACCCTTACGTCAACTCGGTCAGCAGCCACGCGTCCAGCCCCTACATCAGTTCCGTGCAGTCTTACCCGGGCAGCGCCAGCCTCGCCCAGAGCCGCCTGGAGGATCCAGGTACGTGCGCCTGCCCGGGAGAGGGAGACGAAGAGGTACGAAGGAAGAAAGGGAGGGGAGGTGGGTGGGGAGAGAGAGAGAGAGAGAAGGGAGAGGGTGAGACAGAGGTGGGATGGGGGTGGGGAGGGCGCCGGAGCAGTGGAGGTCTCGTATATCAATCTATGAGTCCTTGTCATAGCAAAGAAAAAATTTTTAAATCCATCCAACTAACAACTATCCAACAAAGAATAAATAATAAATAAATCCGAGCGCGTCCCCTGGCACTACTGGACCTCTGGGTGGCTGCGTGCGCCGAACACACAATGCCCTGCTGGAAAACAGAAACCCACATGTGCACGTATCAGTCTCGGTAATTATTTATTGCGTAGCGCTATAAACAATGTATGCAATTAAGAGTAATTAAACCTCAACCACTGCCTGCAAAAATAGCACTTTCCCTGCAAAGGCAGGAGGTTCGCGCCTGGGAACTGCCCCAGTCCGCCTGCAGCGGCCCAGGTCGGGCCCTCGGATTCTACGGGACCCTTCTCTGGCTTTCGGAGTTTCTTGAGCGTTCTCTCTCCTAGCCCTGCCTCCGGTACCCCTCGGTAGCCACACTAAAGGCTGTCCCTCACATTAATAACTGCTCCCGCTTCTGCTGTCCCTCCAGGGGCTGACTCTGAGAAGAGCACAGTGGTGGAAGGTGGTGAAGTGCGCTTCAATGGCAAGGGGAAGAAGATCCGCAAACCCAGGACGATTTACTCCAGTCTGCAGTTGCAGGCTTTGAACCGGAGGTTCCAGCAAACTCAGTACCTCGCTCTGCCCGAGAGGGCGGAGCTCGCGGCCTCCTTGGGACTCACGCAGACGCAGGTACCTTGCTGCTGCCCCACCGCCACGCAGGATTCCCACGGCCCGCCTGCGCCCGGAGCTTCATGTTTGGCTCTCTGGCCTTCATAGTGGGGGGAGAGAGACTGTGTGTGTGTGTGTGTGTGTGTGTGTGTGTGTGTGTGTGTGTGTGTGTGTGTGTGTGTGTACCACCCCTGGCTCTTCCTGCGCGTCTCTCCCTTCCTTCTCTCAGCTCTGTCTCTCACTGCACTCTGTACTCCCCGCTGCCTGCTGCCTGCCTCCTGGCCTTCCGTCGCTGGACAATTTGATTAGGGCCAGGGAGGATTTCCCCAGACGTTTTGTTTGGGGATTCTGAGGTCACACGTGCCTGAACAACTGGAACAATGGATGCGGGGCTTAATCCCTTCTTTGGCTTTAAAACGTGTGGCTAATCACTCGGGGCCTGGTCCAGAGCCTCTGTACCCATCTTCCCCCCCCCCTCCTTTCCAGGTCGGGGGAGGCGGGATCCTTTCCTCTGCCTGCTCAAACCTCCCAAGTCCCAGACCCTGGAGAAAAAACGGGACCTGTCTTCCCGGATTTCTTTAAGACTGTGGGGAGCCCATGAGCGTTTTGATGCCGACTGGCGCGGGTTTCCAACTTCCAGGGCCTGGATTTGGAGGAGAGCTGGGGAGAAAAAGAGACACTAAGGAATGGTTGACGTAAGTCCGAATAAAAAATTTAACCAAAGCTTTTGGCCTCCTCGGTCAGCTCCCAACTCACTCAAGGGCAGAAAGGATGGCAAAGAGATGGCGGGTCGCATAGCAAATAAATTTCCTCCACTCCTTTCTTCTACTGGATTCTTTTATTCATGTTCATATTGGAATCGAAGGCTTTGTGTTGTGCGGGCACTACATCTTCCCCAGATGATTGCCAGCCAGGGTTGGGCTGAGCCCCTGGCGGGAGAAGGCCTAATCCTCTCTTACCCCTCACCACCACGCCCCCTGGCTCTCGGAGAGCTGCCCCTGCTGGCCCGCAGCGGCCCGGTCCAGCACCTGAACCTGTGGTTCTTATCGGTGGTGGTCGTGGTGGTGGCGGTCTGCACCCCCACCCCAGCTGGGAGTTGCTTGTCCAGTCGGTCGGTTGGTCACACAGGGCAGCAAGAGGCATCCTCCCTAATTGTCCCACCGCCCCCTAATCTTCCCACCACCACGAAAGGCACCGTGGACCTAGCCCGAATCACGTTGCTATCCGCTCTTGCAGGTCAAGATCTGGTTCCAGAACAAGCGCTCCAAGTTCAAGAAACTGATGAAGCAGGGCGGGGCGGCTCTGGAGGGTAGCGCGCTGGCCAACGGCCGGGCGATGTCTGCCGGGTCGCCGCCCGTGCCACCTGGATGGAACCCCAACTCCTCGTCCGGAAAGGGCTCCAGCGGCAGCGCGGGCTCCTACATCCCCAGCTACACGTCCTGGTACCCTTCGGCGCACCAAGAAGCTATGCAGCAACCGCAGCTCATGTGAGGTAGCCCACCCTTCCCGCTCGCCTCCTGTCTGTTTCCCCTGGTCTGGCCCCTCCCGCCTGCCGGTCCATCCACCCCATCCGCGTGCCCTGGACCCGGATAAAGGACTGGAGGGAAAGAAGAAGGGACTGTGAAGGTAGGACACCCACCGCGTCCTCAGAGCCCCTCTCGTTCTGGACTGGCTACTTCCCTGGCCCCCGCACTCTCGGCCGCTCTGGCCGCCTGCCTGGGCCGGGAGTGACCGCAGAGAACGACGTGGAACGCAGTCACAGCCGCGGGAGACAGCCAGCGCAGCAAGGCAGCCCGCTGGGCCCAGCCTGCGGGCCGGATCCACGACCCTCACCCAGCTGTGTGGGACTATCAGGAAAAAACAAAAGCAATGTAGAAAAAGAAAAAGCTATTTTCTGTCCTGTCCGTCTCTTGTCTCCTTTCGCTCTGTATCTGTGCGCTGACAAGTCGAGGTCCTCGTCTGTCCGCTGTTCTCATTCGGCATCTGAAAAAAGTCACCAGGTCCAGGAGGCGCGGTCCACCCGGCTGCCCAGTTCCGGATACTGGGATGCTTTGTCTTTTGAGACCTTTTCCTGGGCCTGCCCAAACATCTGTGTAGCTCGTTCTGGAACTGGGGGGAATTAGAGGGAGGGGGGTTTATTTATTGAGAAATGGACTTCGCCTGAGGCTCAATGTTGGCCAGTGCGCGGTTCTGTAGGACAGGAGGAGCGCGCTGTCCAAACGCAAACACACCCATTACTTTAAATGCACTCGGGGGGAAAAAACAGATAAGGAGGACCTGGTGATTTTTAACTTACACAGTAACTTTTGTACTTCGCTGGTATAGAGAGGTTGGAGCTGAATGATTTGTATATTTTACATTTCCCACATTATTTTAAGAAAGAAATGAAGCCAGCACAATTTCTCGTCTGGAGAAGAATGCTTAGTCTCCTTGCCTGAACAAAAAGGAAACTCTGAATGCCCTCCCTAGGGAGAAGGAGAGAGAGGACCCATGGGCATCGGTGAGAAGACAGGCGGGTGTGAGGAGGGCCCGGAGCCCATGGGCGTTATGGTAGGACAAAAGCAGCTTTCCCACAATCCCCAGAGGCTCGACCAGAACAATTCCAGTCACCATCCTGAACGCACAGTCTCCAGTGCAGGATCTAATCGATGTACATAGTATTATTGTTGTTATTAATTATTATTGTTATTATTATTGTTCTGTAAACATGTTGCACAAGCTTAGCTTTTTTTTCCCTGTTCTGTTGTGTGTGGCTGTAAAACCTGATGCTTTGTGAAATGAGAATCTTGACATTTTACTTGTGAAATTTGGAAAATGTGATCAATTGAAATCAACCGTGTTTTGTGTTCTCTATGTCAAAGTTTAGTTTTATATTGAGAATGTTAACTTATTGCTTTGTATCTTGGAAAAATGAACTTTGTAAATAAGTTATAAAGTTTCTTTGAGACAGTAAAATTATGGTTTCGAGAAAGAGCTGCTGTATTGTGTGCTGTGTGAAACGGGCCGGTGTCTGGGCCAAACTTCCCCCTGGGGGGGGCACCACACAGGGGCAGGGGCCCCAGCTCCAGGCACACCAGAATGAGGGGCCTAGGCCTGCAGGGCGGCCTCAGGGGCAGTTCTTGCCTAGAGCCTAGCTCCTGACCGCCAAGGGGACTGACCCCTCCCTCAGTTAGAAGGGTCCCTGGGAAGGGTCCCAGGGACAGGGGGATGAGGAACAGGTGCGTCACGGCAGAGCCTGGGCTCAGGAACCAAGGAGGCTGCGGAAGGCCGGCTGGCGGGAGGAGATCAAAGCAGAACTCAAGACAGCGGACCTGTGAGATTTCAGTGGTCCCCATCACACACACACACACACACACACGCACACACACCCCACAGCCACCTTGCGGGAGGCCTAGAAGCCTGGAGACTGCGCCACCGGACTTTGCGCGCCCTCCCCACCCCCCGCCTCTGCGGGGATCTGGCGTCTCCAATTTTGCTTGCCAGAAGGGCGCTGGATTTCGACGCCGAAAAGACGCGGCCAGACGCTATCAGGATCCGTCTGTCAGGCCACCAGACAATCAGTCACTGAGCTCCGGGGGACCATGTCAAGGCTCTACCCGGGGCCCTCCGCAGAGACTCCTACCCGCAAGGGCCCATCCACAAGGAGGCCCATTTCCCCTTAATGATCCCCGGCTTTCCCTCTGTGCCTGGGAGAAATGGAGGAGGCAAGGGAGGGACGGGTGGCCTCCGTTTACTCGTTGGAACCAGAGGGCTGGCCGAGTGAAGCCCCTCACCCCAGCCGGAAAGTCTCCGGGCCAGGCGGTTAAGAGGGCACCTCCGGCGAACCGCTCAGAGCAGTTCTCTCCAGATGGAACAGGTGAACCGGCCTGGCGCCCTTCTCTGCCCCACGGCCCCGCGCCTCCACCCAACCTCAGCCCCAGATCCCGCGGCCGAGCTGAGGAAGTTGAGGGAAGCCGCGGCCCCGACGGGCTGCAGGGAAGGATTCCGCTTCCCTCACACCCGCCTTCCCTCACATCGGCCCTCCACCTTTGGGGTTCTCCTCTGCAGCGCGCGGTGGGGAGCAGAGTGGGGAAGGCAATGATCTGTGTTGTGACAAGCACCCATTTTTCAATTGGTGCTGGTGAAAGATCAGATGCGCCAGGCTCTTCCGACGCCCTTTGGGAAGGGGAGGGGAAGTGGCGGGGGGGGGGAGGTGGAGGAAAGCAGGGAGGCAGTGGGTGATGGAGCCCGGGACCCTGAGGCCCCTTCTGGGCCTGGGAGCGGGGCTTTTCTTCCCCCGCAGGTCCCCAGAACCTGGAGCGCAATTAGGAGACAGGAGACCTCAGAGGCCAAGGTGCTGGCGCGGACAGACCTCAAAGCTGAAATAGGGAGCCGATCACCCTGGCTGGGCTCTGGCGTCAGGGCACAGGTCTCACTGGGTTTGTCTTCCCTGCAAGATGAGCCCCTGCTGGCGGGGAGCTTTTGGTAGATTTCTCTCTCGCATCTGAATCGGGGTCCTCCGACGGCAGCCAGGGCCCAATGCCTGAAGCCACAGGCAAAATCTATTTGGTCAAGCGGATTTTAATACTTTGATATATTAGCTTATACTAATTTAATAATCTCTTGCTAACAGTTCAAATAGAGAAATTATTAGTTTTAGCTAAACGAAGGCGGTCTTTAGTTAGGCTCTATTATAATTATAGGCAGTTGTACTTTTAAAAAATGTTAATCTCAATATAGGCCTAATTAATGCTGCCTTGTTACTGACAAGTAGTTCATCAAATATCTGATTCAAAGATTTTCATAATGAGTATATTAATTAAACTATGAATAATCTAAAGGTGGTTATATTTAAACAATACCTCATTATAATGATTAAATACTGATTTCGAATACTATGTCTTAACAATTGTCACTTGGAAAACACAACCTTTTCTTGTGTATGAGTCTGTAATGGCAAAATGCAATTTTGGGATTTTTCCCCTTGTTCGAAAAATGTGAACCTCATTTTAAAACACTTCTGAAATAGGTTACACACAGCTTAATGATTATCAAAATGACTCTTTTCTGCAAAAAAAGACCCCAAAGTGCGTGTACAGCTGCAAACCCAAGAGGGTCAGCATCATTTCACTGTATTCTCTTCTTGATTACAAGCCGGGCCCATCAAACACAACATAATTACAGTAATTTCAGGTTTATTTATTCTAATGCAGTTTCCCCATCTCTCTGGTAATTATGAGCAATTTTTTCGCCCAGGGAATCTTTTTGCATTAACAAAAGAGATAACGCACTGAAAGCCAAATTTGCTGTGCATTGAGAAAAGGAAAAAAAAAAATCAAATAGGTACGAGCTGCCATCTCTGCAATTCTCTGGTACCGGAGCTGGCAAATTGCTTGCAGGTGTATGGCGCAAGCTTGTCAATGGCCGGGCCTCCAAATTAGCAAATGCACAGCATTGAAGTAATGAAGACAGACTTAGCAAAATTGCCAAACAACAGATACCTCTTTAATATCTTCTCTCACACACACTCGCTCTAAAAGGGGTAAGGGTAGAGGTGGAGGGGCAAAACCAACAATCCAACTCCCCTCCTCAGTGATCTTGGGTTTCATAAACCTGAAACCAAGTGGTCCTGCTAGTAGTCTAATTGTGGAAGAACTGAGATCCTAAATCTAGGCAACATTTTTCAAAAATATGAAATGGAAAACATTTATATAGTTCACAGCTTTCCTTCATTGGCCATCATGTTTTAGTTTTATTTATTTCTTCCTGGGATCTGCACCTGGGCTTGAACAGCTAGCTTGTCAGCCTTTTCTATTCTGCCCCAACTTTAAGAGCCACAAAAAAGTCTTAAATTGCCCCCCCCACCAATATGCACAGAAGTACAATTTTATTCTTAGAGTTGACTGATGTAGAAATTAACTAAATCTCTCCCCTTGGAGAAATCATCGATTTCTGTCACCTAGAGAAAGCTAGGTCTGAATGCTGAATATAGAACCTGAGATACTTGATCCCAAGAAAAAATGGAAGGAAAGAAGCAACCCAGGCCTCCAGCTATGTGTTTTCCCCTGCTGTCCATCTCTTTCATTCTGTATCTTTTAAAAGCCGATTTCAGAATTCTCTAGAGTTTTTGTCATCCTACCATCTGGGTTAATCATCCTGAAACCAAAGGCTCAAGCAAACTTTTCTACTCCTGATCCCTCACGGCCATAGAAACTTCCACCAAATGCTGTACAGAGGGTAAGGGGCTCTCCCTCCCACAGCTCAAAGAAAGCTTCTTTGGGTGCCCCGCTCCACAACAAACCCCATCTCCAGTGGGGACAGGCGAACTGTTCTAAAAGGTGCCTTCCTCAGGCTAAAGAAACATGTCGCCCCCACCTCACTCTTTTCTTACTTCCCACCCTCATCCCCCAACCTTTAGGGATTAACACTTCCTGAAACATCAAGTATTTTAATAAAAAAGGAAAAAAAATAATCCTGACATCGCTGACAAGAAGTTTTGATGGAAGAATTAG